AACGAAAAAAGGATGCTTTTAACAAGAATTTGAATGAAAACACTTTTACTCATTTTTTTTCTCTTTTTGGGAACCCAAGATCTCAATCTCAGCTGTGATAGTACGTTCTAAACTGGATGGTGAAGGTTCAGTAACATTTTTTGAAGGTTGCGCTATCTTAGACTATTCTAAGTATCTTTTTGATATTGAAGACAGACTAGATGCTTTGTGGGACATTAGTATCTGGCCTTGTTATCTTATGGCGTTAATTCGTATAATTGGGATTTTCATTCCATTCTGAACTCTATTTCAAAATGAGCTTTGTTTTTGCCTTGAACAAAAAGTGAGAGTTCTTAAATGAAGAGAATTTCCCGAATCAATAACCTCATCGACAAATAGTGGATCTTCTCAAAACTATCGAAGTACTCTTAACTTCCTCCACAGTTTCTTTCCTTTCTTCTGTAAGTCGTAAAGTTTTGAAATGATGTGATTAGAGACTGTGATTTCAAAGAAATTGCCGCGCAAGAGAAAAGCGAGAAGGAACTTCACATTCATAGGTTCAAGTTCGCACCGTCAGGTATTTCGCATTCCAGAATGTACCAGGTACGATTCGCTTGCGCAAGACCATCCAGCTCCCATTTCGAAACATCCTCACTGCACTCGCTGGTCAATTGCAGTGATAAAAGATATGGTCTCACTGGCGGTTGGATGGGTGTGTGGTGCCGTTTCGCGCTACATGTCCCGACCGATTATGGTCCATCTATCATATGTTACCGTAGTGAGTTGCGTTGTGTCAGTGATCGCCATCATCTTCGTCTTCGGGTAGAAATGACACCCGCCCTTCCAGCGCTATCCATCATCGTATCACCCTAATCCCCTGCCGCGATTTATGCTGTCGTCGGCGATTTCCAGCTGATGCACTTGATGTACTCACCTTTTTCTAGGATTATTTGCCCTTTGATCTGTAAAAAGGTGTTCAAAACAGCTATAGCCATATCAACACGAACGTTCACCTTGAAAATGACCTCAACACATTTCAATTCGCAAGTTTCGTCCTTAATGTCACAATATCACCTTGATAGTCGAGCGTGTGATAGGTGTGATAAATGAAAAATTCAAATCTCGCTCATCTCCCGTATGGCGAAATTGCGACGGCAAGAGTTAGTAAATTGCCAACTTTGTGTCCGCCAAACCAGTTTTCAGATGAAGCCGAAATTGATTAAATCTCGAAAAAAATCTGCCGAAAAGGCAGAAAGCAACTGTGACAGAGTATCATTTCGAAAAAGGAATTCTCGCCGTAGTGACTTGCTGCACGAAAAATTGGTTACCATTTCCACTAAGGAATTCTGTATTAACCACGGAACCATCCAATTATCTACCTTATCTGTAGTATCACTGCAATCTAACCCTAATCTACCAGCATGCTTACCTACTCTAACCACAATTTGTCGTCGATGATGATCAGC